TGCTGCTCCAGGCCTGGTGGGAAGGACTACCGGAGGCGGAAAGCTTACGTGAGTTCACCGAGTGGATGCGTCTTGGGAATAAAAGGACCTGAATGGGTGGAGCCCTGTAAATGCGTCTTGTGCTGGCTGGTGTAGTTGGTTCTTGCCACCACTCAAAAGCTTGAACTTTCGCAACGTCAGGAGACTTGTTGTTTCTGATGCTGTTTTGATCACTGGCGTGGCTTCGTTTGGAGAAGTATGTGTTGGATGCCATTCAGTGCTCGGCTCTGATACAGAGGCGCAAAAATGCATCAGCCTGTTGCAGAACGTCTATGACCTGAGCTCCAGGACACTCGCTGCCAAAACGCTACAGGGTTTTCTATTGTTGGGACGTCTTCTTTGTTGTCTTGCCAAGGGCGGCAAAGGTCGATAGTGGATTTCGCGGTTTTGGGGCCACCTTTGCGAACCAGCATGAGCTCTTCAAGCGGAGAGCTCCAAGTGCCTCTGTGTTCAGGAACTCCAACATCATGACAGAAGCACAGCTGGAGGAGATCTCATTTGCGCGTGTCCTGAAGAATATGGCTTAACCTCCAAAGTGAGTGGTTTACCTTTTGGTTTTTGTCAAAAGACTGAAGAGGGGCACCCCCAAGACAGACCGATTTCTTTTGCGAACTACTTGCGCCGCTGAATTTGCGCATGGGATCTTGCTTCACGTGTGGAGGAGCTTTGGTTCGGCGTCCTGGGCTTTACTGTCCGCAAGCAGGACACAGTTTTGTGGCCAGCGGTAGTTATTGACTGATTTTTGGGCGCGTTTTGTCGCCCAACTTCTTTGCGTGTTGCTAGAGGCACGCTTAGGCGTTTAAAGGAAATCGCGTCAGCACGCCACAAAAGGATTCCACAGAAACGTGGCACAAGACAAAAAACCATGCCCATCATGCGTCAGTTTGCAGTTTGATACCGGCGCTTGGCCAATGCAAACCTGCCTGCGAACCCAAAAATGGCACATCCTACCAAGTCAAACCCCTCCAGCCCAAAAAATGGAGCAGGACACAGTCAAATGAACACGGAATGGAGGAGTTCGAATTGGCTCCGAAAAGCACTCAAACCGGGGCGCCCAGTGTATGAAACACTGCAAGCCCACGCAACGGACCCCCGGCACGGTCAGCACATGCGCCCATTGAGCCAGGGACAAGGAAAGCAGAGGCAATGAGTGAACGAAAGGGAAGGGAAAGGGCAAAGGCTCGGGAAAGGAAAGCATTCGAACTTGCCCTGAAAAGGGGGTGCCCGGATTGGGAGGGGCCAAGGTGGCAAGCAGGGGAAACGAGTGAACGCAAGGGAGGGAACAAAGAAAAGGGAAATCCAACTCGCTCCCAAATGCGCTGAAAAACGGGCCGGTGTACGTAAAGCACTGAAAGCTCATCCACATGGATCCCTGTCACTGCAAGATTGCCACCCTGATGATGTTGCGGTGTTCTATGCGTTGTTTGAGTGTATTTGGGAGTGATTTCTTTTCCTTTTTCCTTGCTCCCTCGTTTGGTTCACCCCAAGCGGGAGACAAACAAAGACTTCCCACGGCACCGACCGATAGAGCACCCCGGACGGAGACTAGCCAGAGAGATCACAACTGCTGCTGTGGCGTATGCTGCTCAAACCGTCTTCTTGGGATCTCTGCCACCCGCTTCTTTTTTGCAGGGGTCCGCCTTCTAGCATCCTCCTGCGGCTCTCGGGGGTTGCGGCAGGCGAGGCCCACTTTGCCAAGGTGCAAGAGTTGCCCTCTTTCCATGCGCGCGCCGCCTGGGCTCGGCACGTTGGCTTGGGAGCATGCCCTGAATGCTCAGGCTCGATCTCGCCCAGGACGCTCGCACATCCTGCCGATTTTGAGCGGACCCCTGTTTGTCTCTGTCTCCGTACCGCGCGGCTCCGCATTTTCCTCTGGCACACTGCCAGGTTTGGCTTCCCTCCCCTCTCTTCGTCACATTGCTCCTTGATGTGGCCGCATGGCCGATCATCCGTCCACGCTCCGCGTTCTCGCCGAACTTTTTCACAGGGCAGTCCTCGAATTGTTTGGTCCCATGCTGGCCAACATTGCAAGCATATTATGTGTCTGCTCGTGCTTTTGCAGCAGTGGTGATTCTAAGGAATGGAGCCATTTGAGTGGGTGCGCTTTCCGGAGTGCCATCTCAAAGCAGTGTTTGCACATGAGTTTTGTGAGCCCAGTGTTGGGGAGTGGTGGCTGTTTCCCTTCTGTGCTTCTCAAACTGGGGAACCAGTGGTTTCGCTTTGGTGTCTCTTTGAAAACCAACCAACAACGGGTTCCCCACAAACCGACACTTGAGGAGAGCGTGACGAGCATTTCGAACGAGCGCGGATCGCTGAGATGTCGAAGCCTTCCGTAGACTTTCCCATGGTTTGCTTCGCATTGCTTTCCCCTAGACCATCCGAAAAGGTTCCCATTCTTTGCAGGGCCTCCATTTCCCTTTTTGGAACCTCCAAAAGTGGCAGCTTCAGGAAAAAGGCGCCAGAAAACTGACGAAAACTGATCAACTTAAGGGGGAATCCCAGTGAACCCAAAGTTTGGGAAAGCGACTCCTTTCAGAACGAGTCGAACCCAATCTGATGCGAGCGTCCGAGGCCGGCGGGCGGGGCTGGCGCTGGTCCTGCGGGAGATGTCCTCAAAGGCTTAGCCGGGCAAGAGGTAGGTTCTCCGAAAAAAGAGAAGAAAGAGTGTGAACATCCCTCTTTTTTGGGGGTGGGCTGTTCTTGAATCAGGGAACCAAACAGAAGCCACATATTTTGGGTTCTCCCATTTGAAGACAGACCCAAAGAGTCCGTTGTAAGGAGATCGGGCAACTTCTAGCGATATCGCGACAGGGCATCACGATCTCGCCCATGAAGATTCCTTGCTTGGGGATTGCTTCGGGCTGGTGAATGACTGCAGTTCGCGGAATCCACCGCTTGGTGCGCGCCCTCACACCTGCAGGCAATGGCAGGCGTGGTGGCATACCTGCCGGGGCCTATGAGTGAGCTTTGCTGGCTTCTGCGTCTGCGAAACTGTCACGCCTTTTCAGGAGCCCAGTCGTAAGAGTTGTTTCAAGTTTTGAGAGCCCCAATCTTGAAGGTCCCAGATATAAGAGTTCACGACTTGTGAAAACCCTTTGGAACTTGCCTAAGGCATGCTTTGGGAGATTCTTGCAGTTCATTCCTTGCGGAGAACGCCATGCTTCAGGTCTCTTCCTCGATGCCTGAAGTGGATTTGCACTGAATTTGGCCAGTCCAGCTTGGGCATTTGGAAGGACTGCGCCTGGGTGTAGATTGCAAAAGATGGTTCAAGTTTGTCTTATCTATACATGTAAAGGGGGTCTTGCAACATGGGGTTGCTTGCACAAGATGGGTGTAAAAATATTATACATTATATAGAATATATATATATATATATATATATATATATAGTAGAGCGCCCAGAAAGCGGGGGTGGTGCAAAAAGCGCAGGACCCGCTGCAGAGCATGCTGAGCGGGCTGGGCTTCCAGCAAGGCCTGCTGCAGGCTGCCACCGCCGTTGCGGCGCAGGACGCCCAAATTAAAGGACTTTCCAGAGCCAAGACAGGAGCTCCAGGAAAATCTCATGGACACCAGCCAAACACCCACCCAAAAACAATGGATCTGTTTTAGGTTTCTTGTTCTTTTTGTCGGGATATTCGTTTGTGGTAGAAGTGGAAGACAACGGAAGGCATTCACCAAATTGCCAGTAGAAATTGGGGACAGAATGACTATTGTCCGTCGCTCGCGTATACCACAGGCTCCAGACGTAGACACGTGACGCATAAATGTTTGATTGTGCAGAACTCCCAAGAACACAGAACACTCATCGACTCCGGTGAAGCACTGGATGATATGTATATGAATATAAATATATATATATATACACATATATATATATATGCGGATATATATATATATATATGTATATATGGCAACCCCCCCTGGAATGCTCAGGTGTTCGTTCAAACATTGACACGGTTGCTGTAAACATGCACGCGAAATGCACTTCTCAGCTTCTAAAATGATGCTCAAAAATGCACTTTATTTTAGACCTAAGTTATAGCATCAGTACTTAATGCAATTCAGGATGTGCTAGCACGTGCTAGCATATCCTGGATTGAAGATTGAAGATTGAAGTTTACCTGACAACTCTTGCTGAGATTCTTCAAGTCCATACTTGGGGGGAGCCATGATGTGCTACCACGTGCTAGCACATATCAGTTTGTCCTAAGTATGGATTTGAAGATTTTCGGAAAAGTGGTCTGAGAATCTTCAATCTTCAATCTTCAATCCAGGATGTTCTAGCACGTGCTAGCACATCTTGGATTGCCCTAAGTACACAATTGAAGAATCCAGAGTTGTCAAAGAACCTTCAATCCTCAATCGTCAATCCAGGATGTCAAAGCAGATCTCGCACTGCCCAAGTATGGAATCTGAAAAGGCGGGCAAGCAGAGCACATTCCAAGAGTCAAATTCTGGATGTGCACCTCCTGCATTTTGCCCCCATAAGGGAACCATGTGTCTTGAACACTTTATAACTTTTTTGGGACTTGAGGGATGGCCAGGATGGACGATTCTCAAAGAACAAATCTGGACATCTTCAATCTTCAATGCGGGTGGGAAAAGCTTGAAGCGTCTAGAAACACTGTGAAGCTTTTTGGGGGCCAGGATTGAGGATGTTCTAAAACGTTGTTTGTGGAATCGTGATTAGTTGGCCTTCGATCCAGGGCAACACGATCTGAGCGAATGCTGAAAACACCGTGTGTTACAGCATTTCATGCCAATAATATGATCTATGCTTGAAAACACTTGTCTGTTATTGGTTGGCTCAGTTCTTGCTTTGTTAAGACCGCATGGAGTAAGATAAGGACAATAACCCTCATGAAATGTCCAGTTTTAATTGGCCATGACAATAGCTGTGTTCTCCAATCGATTTTTGAAACGCACAAGAAACTGCAACTGGTTCAAGTTGAATTTGGCTTGAACTCGAAATCATTATAACTTTGATGTTCTTCCTATACTTAAATTTCAATAGTTGTTCTTGACAGGGGTTGAATCGTATTAGACAAGTAACGCTCAACTAATATAGCTGCTTTGCAAGTTTGATTTAAATACACTTAGATAGAATGTATATGGAATTGTGTACAAGAAACGAACGAACATGTAGATGCAACTGCACAAGGACATGAAGCAATTTTGTGTTTGATTTGGATGTCAGTTGCTTCGCGTACTACTCTTGTGCTGAAAGTTGTGCTTTTTGAGCTGGGGCTGCCACAGCGCACTTCGCAGAATCCAACGTGACTTTAAGTGCACTTCGCGTTCGCGCTGGTTAACCAGGAGCTCCTTTTGAAAGTCGAGCTTAACTTCTGCTTGGTTTGACTGTGCATGGAGTTGCGCGTCCTGTCAGCTCTGTTCAGAGTCCCCCTGGCCCAGTCTGGCCAAAAACTTGAGTTCTGGACGAAACCTGAGTATTTCAAGAAGGGGTAGCCCTTTTTTTTTCTGCGACATAGCTACATACACGCACCTGCTGCTTACGTAAGGGGAGTCAGGTCATTCTAGATGGATGTTACCAGAAGTGGGTGCTTTTTGCAATGTTGGCAGACTTGGCAGACTTGCCCAGATGATTCATTGAGACTTTGCCACCCATATGAATAGTGTTTGCTTCTTCTTTCTGACACGTGTGTGTGTGGCATTCCTCCTCTTGATCCTTTGCTCAATCATTTCATATATTTTCTGCTCAGAAGCTTAGTCTATGTCAACGCAAGTTCATTTGAACATAGCATCAGAAGCAAAGTTAGGTGCAGTGTAAAGACGATTTTAGGTAAAGCGTCATAGGTGCTACCCAGGGTCTAAACCGTTCTCTCTCATACATACATACCTGAAGTTTCCAAGATGTCAGTCAGAAATAAAGCATCTGCTTCCAACTAGAAATCGTGATGTTCTTGAATTTGATGTTAAAATGTTTCCATGCTAGTTTTGCTTTGAAATAGTCTTCATCACTAATGTTATCCTCGCTCAACTGACTGTAACGCATCTCTGTGAGGTACCGGTGCAAGGGTATCAAACATAAAGCAAACAGTACGTCCTCTGCTTCGTCTACGCATCTTCGATTTCTCATATCAACTGATGCGCAAATCCTCTTCGTCTGTCAACTTACAGACCCAAACATCTGTGCCGCATCCTCCATCTCTCGTCTCAACCCATCTTCAAATCCCCTTCGTCTCTGGGCTCGCAAACCTTGGCCAATACCAAAACATTCTCACGTCTTATTTGCCGTGACCAATGCCACGCTATGTGCTAAAACCAGCTCATCTCCCTTAATGAGATATGTTCTGCACAAAAACCTGCCAAGAAGCATGTACAACCGTGTTTTCAATATTCAAAGGTTGGTGTGGATTTGTTTAAGTCATTTTGTGAAGAAATAATTGTCCAATGACCATATGCTGAACTATCAACTCTATTTACCGCGCACAAGTTCAAAGGATAATAAGGTGCAGACCCAAACAGAAATGACTGAAAGCAGTCGCTTTAAAGCGCTTTAAAACGTTCTTGTTCTTGAATTTTGAACTCATGAGCTACCTGGATGAAAGCGCTTTGAAGCGTCTTGGGGACCCATACTGGGTTCAAGATTCAAGAACAACAGTCCTGAGAATCTTGACAGTCACAGTCAAATGTGCAAATGCGGGCACGGTTTAATGCTCAAATGTGGGGTGCCTGAAAAAGTACTGTACATTCTCTTGGGGCGTGTGTGTTTTTTGGGGCTGGGGGGGGGGGGGGCGGGGGGGGGGGGGGTGGGCGCATAAAAATATGTGCACATGTACGTACACACTATTGTGACACTTGTATGCGTCTCTCTCTCTCTCTATATATATATATGTATATTGCTTTATCATATGTATATTTGTACGACTACACACACATACAAACACACATACATGCATACATAAATGCATGCATGAACCCCCACACACACACATACCGACCTACCTACATACATACATACATGCATGCATGCATGCATGCATGCATACATACATACACACGCATACCTATACACTTACACTCATACGCACACATACGCATGCACAGATACTTCACTACATACATAACAGGCATACCGTACAGAACATACGTACCATACATGACATACGTAACATTCATGCCACACAAAGAACATGGATGACATACATCATATACACAACGTACATACCGTACGTAACATACATAACATACATGACATACATAACATACATGACATACATAACATACATGACATACATAACATACATAACATACATAGCATACATAGAATACATGACATACATCACACAGATATCATATATATATATATACATAGCGCGCCTGAGTTCTGCCCTACAGCTGGATGTGGGGTTTGCAGGATGTCATGAAGCCCTTTGTTGTGCTGAAGATGTGTGGTAGCCGTGGAGCACTCGTGTCACCGAGGACATGCGTTTGGACAGCTTGCAGTGACCGTGTGTTGGTCCTCGCGCCTTGCGGTTCTTGAGAGAGCACAGGACGGTGCCTGCAGAAGGCGCTCTGCGAGTTCCATTGGTGTCGCCAAAGGCTGGATGCGACAAGCCAAGCCAATGCAGCGCGTAGCATGAGACGGGGTCAGTTGATGCTTGCGGGTTGGTGCAAAAGCAATCAGTACCACACGTGCGGCTATTTTTTCAAAAGGAGCTGCTCTTGTACTGATTGTCACGTGGTTTGTCCTCAAAAGCTGGCTTCCCAATTTTTGAAACGATGGGCACAGCTTTGCCCCCGCATGGCCCTTTCGAACTGGTGCCCTGTACGGTGAGGCCGTCGGTTCTCTTCAGAGACCAGATGGGTGCCTGCGAACAAGAAGCGCAGCTGCAAAAACGCGCATGCGGCCTTGACATGCGTGGCTTTCGAAATTGGGGATCTCCCCAAGTTTCGCTCAATTCCTGGTTTCCGAGAAGACTGCTGTCTTACATTGGCAGGCTCAGGGATCTCTCGAGTTTCGGCTCAAGAATGTTTGAGGGCAGCTTCTTTGGGTATGCCAACTGCCGGCTGAGCGCAGGCTCAGAGCCGAAGAGCAGTCTCCAGCAGGTCCTACTGAGAGCACACGAGGGGATCATGAATAGGATGGACGCCGGGGCTGTGCGGTAGCTGCAAAGCGCATGGCTATGAGTTTGCATGGGGGACCCTTTTCAACATGGCTGGTGGTGATCTCAAGTTGTCACTTGATACATATCTCGGCTTGCAGGTTCATGAATCTTCGAGGCGAAAGAGCGCCGTTGTCGCATTGTGGGCCTTGGGGAAACGGGCAGAAGGGCCTTGGACGAGAGAGTTGCAGAGGTGAAACTCGACGCGGAAGTCACAAGCTTACGCGTTGGTAGCTTGCGAGCAGGTCGAAGCCGCTAATCATGGCAGCAGAACAAAAGGATGAGTGAGGGGCTGAGAGTGAGGAGAGAATTGAGACCCGGGGAGTTAGTTGTGGTTTTAGCCAGCTAAGGCATGAGGAAAGCATCCGAGTATGTTGCAGGCAAAGCTTTGCCCACTCGTCAGTGAAACGCGCTGTCCCTCGGGAGTCTTGCTGCTTGCTTTGTATTCAAAATACGCCAACAGGTTCCGACCGCAAAATCAGCAAGAGAAGGAGGCGTCCGGCAAGATCTGCATTCAGCTCAACGAAGATGGGACCTCAGTGTGACCCACTGCACAGCTTGCCGATGCAACTGCGCATGTCCGTGTCAGCCAGCCTGTGACTTGTCCCTCTTTTGCCTTCGCCGCCTTGACTCTAAGCCATTCCAGAAAGACAAGACACATGGCTCATGGATCAAGGCGTGAGACATGAGACTGGTTGCACTTCTTTAGTTGTTTTTCTTCCCGTGAGTTTCAAGCAACATGAGCTCCAAACGACAAGAACTCAGCTTCTCGCGGTGCAAGGCCAGGCTGGTTAGGCTGGTTGATTGGCTCATGTCTTGGACGAGATGGGCGCCTGACGTGGATGCCCCGGGCACCCGGGCCGGTGCCCTCGAGGTCCCGGTGGAAGGCGGCGCCGCAGACCGCGGCCGCGCGGAGCAGCCGATGGCGGGACGCGCTGCACATCATCGCCTCGCTGAAGGTTCACGGCCTGCAGACCGAGGATCGATCCTCCGCCCTGTCGCCCTGTCGCCCTGTCGCCCTGTCGCCCTTTCGGTCGAGGTCTCTCTTTCTGCAACGCAAACGAATCAAGCAAGCGCGCAAGAACAAGGAACCGCATGAGCAAACAGCAAGCACAATGCACGCAGTGATGAATGACCACTTGAGGTACTGGCAATACTCTCGTGCTTGCGGGAAGAAAACACATGTGCAGCCCATTTCAATTGAGGTTTTGCCGCGGCCTCACTTGGTGCAGGGCAGTTGAATTTTGATTATCCTGGACAAATACAACTGGACTTCCCAGAGCCGATTCTGATTGCACCGCAGAGCCGACTATACTGGCGCAAGTTGTTTTATTTGAATAAAGAAATAACATGTTTGATCCCCATGATAGACATGGCTTGCCTTTGGCAAGCAGTTTTGACGAAAAACAAAAACTCAAGACACCTTCAAGGTTGTGGATCTCCCCCTCTCCCTCCACATCCTTCCTTATATTCCTCATTAATCATCAACGGCGACTCCGAACCACCCTGAATCCCTCCCTGAGGGCGCTGCTGGGACGCTGAGTGCTTTGGCGCGGGGCGCCCGCTGGCGGGCGGTGCTGCGGCGCTTTGCATCCGACGAGCTGTCGCAGTCGGGGCTCAGCGAGGCGCCGAAGGCGGCGAAGGCTGGCGGCTGGCGGGTCTCGCTGCAAGTGCTGCGCCGCATTCAGGCCGATCCAATTGCCCCAGGTTCGTCGGATGTTCGAAAGTGTTCGTTTTATTTCTCGGTGAGTTTACAGGACAAGCAAACCCAAGAATTGGAAAGCAATTTGCAAAAGCAGCATGCTGGCGTCCAGGCCCAACAGGGTGCGTCATTCTTCGAGGGGCGCCTTTTCTTCAGATTGGTTTACAAGCAAAAGCAGGAGCACCAAATCCACACAGGTGACGGATTTATAGACACCCAAAAAGGTTGAATGGATTGCTTGCCTTATGTAGTTTTTTTTTTTTGGTTTTGTCTTACGGCTGACAGTTCCTAGTAGCACACGCTTGTACATGTCGTCTTTGCATGAGAAAGTGTGGGGAGAGGCCCTCACTGCCTCAGGAATGTGGCCTGCGACTTCCGGTGGAAAGCTTCAATGCTGCTTCCAGCTGCTGTGGAAAGGCCTGGAGGTGGTCCCTGCAGTGTTTCAGGGAAACCACAGTCACCAGCATCCAGGTGAGTCTAATCTCCTACAACACAGCGATGACTACCTCAGGAGAGGCATTACGCTGGCACCGCAGTCTGGCTTTGCTTGACGATTTGGTGCAGGAGGACCTAGTTCCAGACAGCTTCAGCCTGAACACAGTGGCGGCAGCATGTGAGACGCGCTGGGAGCGGTCGCTTGCTGCCGGCTGCTGGGAGTTCGGTGCGGGAGCGTTGGACGTGATCGGGTGGAACGCGGTGGTCAGCGCCTGCGGCTGCGGCTCCGAGTGGCGCCTGGGCCTGGCGGCGTTGGCGCGGCTGCCGGCGCTGGGTGTGCGCGCGTCCAAGGTGTCCGTGGCGGCGGCCGCCACCGCGTGCGAGCGCGCGGGTTTGTGGCGCCCGCCGCTGGAGCTGCTCTTTGGGCCGACGAGCTGGGCCCGCAGCCCGGTGCTGCAGGGGGCCCTGCTGGACGCTTTGGAGCCGTGGGGCCTGTGGCGAGAGGCCACTCAGGTGGTGGAGCTGAGCCGAAAGGAGTGGAAGGTGGATGCTATGGCAGCTTCGGCCATGGTGTCTGCTTGCAGCAAAGGAGATTGGAGGAAGGCGCTCTTCCTCGCAGCTGAGTTCAGCTCCCTGATGAGCACAGCCGCCTGGAATGCTTGCATTCGCGCGTGCGCAGGCCGAGTGAGGGCAGAAGATTTGTTTGCTTGGATGCGATCGTCCAGGTTTGAGCCGGATATGCTTTCCTATGCCGCAGTGGATGTGACGCTGGAGTTCGAGCCACGGCCTGTTTGGTTGATTTCTGAAGCGAGATCGCAGGCTATCAGCGTACTGTCCCGAATGAGCAAGCTGCGTGCCAAAACGCGGCTCGCAGACTTTGCCGAAAGGTAACCCACAACGCATGTTTTTATTCCACAGGTACACGCCGGCGATTGACAACACCTTTGTGTATGATCGCGTGTTTAGCATGGAGTCCACCCAGAAGGAGGCCGAATTGCACGACGCAGTCGTTTTTTTGCTATGATGAAGAGTGCCAAAAACACCAATCCACTTGGTTTGCACACGGCAACTGCTTACGCAAACCATTTTTGTTTAGTATCAGGCTGATGTATGTTCAAATCTCACTTCAGGTGTACGACTACGCAGCTAAGCCAATCATCAACGGCGTGTTGACACCTGAGCTTTTCATGTGTTGTGCTAACTTGCAGAGCTTGTTTCTTCAACAACAAGCAAGGTTGAGGGGCTTCAATGGCACGGTCTTCGCATACGGCTTGGGCCCTTGAGATGCACGTGCGTGAGCGAGACTCTGACTCCAGGTCAACATCAACTGATGGGGTCATGATGGCATTGTACATGCAAGATTGGCATTTGGGGTCTGTCACGCTGGAATTGAGGCCAGACGGCCTCGGGCAAGACCCACACTATGGAGGCGGGCAATCTCAAAGTCCAATACTTGCCACTATTGTTTGGGAGCAACTGAGTGCCCTGTTTGTGTCACCTTGCCTGACATCTCCTTGCCACCTTGTGCCAGGGTCCAGACACCGAAGATGAAATTCAGATGGGCGTCATTCCAAGGACATAGCCAGATTTGTTAAATATGCAAGACAACGATGAGTGCATGATTTCCATGCAGAGACAAGTCTCATTTGCATTTCACAATGACACATAACTCTGCCATGATCCGACCATAGATCAGCGGCACGTCATGATTTTGGAAGCAAAGTAGAGGAATTACGGGGCAAGCACATCTTGCTAAACTTAGAGGAGCTTTTGATACTCAGATTGGCAAGAGCATTGGAGGCCCTGACTGATTCAGGATGATATGGTCCGTCTTTGATGGTATCTCCCAAGCCTTTGCCTTACACGCTTGCCACTTGATGACGCTGTGCCAAGAAGACCTGCAGTGAGGCTGCGGACTACATTGAATTTGTGGTCAAGGTCTCCATCGTTGAGATCTACAACGAGCGTGCGCCTGCACTTGTGAGCACCAGAGATCCGCGGATACAGTTGGCAGGCATTCGCGATCTGCTTGATCCCAAGAAGGACAACCTTAAGATTCACGAGGACAAGGCAGGGAAGCTGAAGGTGTGAAGCCAATGCCACATAGACTCGGACCGAGGCTCGAGGGGTGTTCATCGGAGAAGTGACCGAACATTATGTCGGGCCCGGGGCTCCTAGTATTTCAATGCTTGGCTGGACATGTGGAGGAAACCAGTTTTTCGTTGGGAACCCATTTTGGTTGGTAAACCAACCATTTGGGGGTCATCTTGAGAGAAACCATGGTTCCCAGCCTGTTGCAACCAAGGTCTGAGCAAGAGATCTTCGACATAATGTCTCAGACTCATTTGAGTGGCATTCTTTGGCTGTCGACAGTTGTTGTTGCTCCAGGAAGAGCAGTTCCTACAATCGGGCAGTCGCGGCGACCAACGCGAATGAGCATTCATCAAGGTGCGGCAGCGTCAATTAAGTGGTCCGTACCCCGCCATGTCATCATGCACATTTTTTTTGGCAGGTCACACTTGATTTTCATGCTCACGATCGAGCAGAAGAACCTGCATGATCGATCAGTCAAGGTGAGCCCAATTTTGCGGTCGTGTCCATTGGACTCCGTTGGACGTAGCCTATAGGTGTGTTCTTTGTGCAAGATGCAATTCTTCTGTATCAAAGGCCCAGTCTGAAGATCAATGTCGCCGCACAGGTCGGCAAGCTGCATTTGGTTGATCTTGCCGGCAGCGAGAAGGCTGAGCACTTGGACATTTAGCATTGGGACCAGCCTTGGACATTGGGTAGAAGTATGAAAGTTAAGCTATATTTGGCTATGAATCTTGATGACTGGAACTCTGGAACCCTCAAAATGGGTGGTGGACATGCATCTCCGTGTGAATTGAAAAGGGTCCCCAATGAGAATTCATATCTTTTTTGCCTGAGGGTTAGCCGTTCCGTGCATCACTGCAGGTCGCAAAGACCGGAGCGTCTGGCGATCGCTTGGATGAGGTTCGATCGGATCCAGCGGTTGTGCTTCCTGCCTTTGGTCTATACAAGGGATTTGACGGTCAGGTCACGGCGTTTTTGTTCTTCTTCTTTTTGTCCCCCTTTCTTTTTGTTTGTTCTATTCATTGATTTCTTCTTTTTCTACTCAATTGACTCTGTGTTTTCCTCTGGACCAAGGCAGTCACGTATGAGCTCGGGAAACCTGCGTTTTTCTTTCCTGGCGGCATGGCCAGGCCAAGAACATCAACAAATCCCTCTCGGCTTTGGGAAATGCGACGGGCTCGGGCAGTTTACGAACTGGTAAGTTTTGGACTTCCCATTGACCAGCTCAGTTTGTATTTGTTCAAATCCTGTCAAGCAAGCCTCTGATTCGGCTTGCATTTGCTTTGACTTTGCAGGCGAATGGGGACGTGCCAGTTTCCAACCAAGTTGTTCCGATTCGCTCTCCTCCCTTGAAAGGATACATGAACAAACTGTGCCTGTTCCTTTCTTGTCTCCCGAAAGCGTTATCTGCCGAGTTTTGGAGCTGATTCAAAAATGTGTTCTTTCGTTGGATATCCCTTTGATGGCTACTAAAACGGCTTTCAAAAAGGCGCATCAATTTCAGGCTTTGCGTTGATGCCTCGATGCCATTGATCTCAGGTGATCAATGCTCTGACCGACCGCAAGTCCTCGCATGTGCCGTACCGCGATTCGAAGCTCTCCCGGGCTTGGCCCTCGGGCAACCCGGGTCAAGGGGCACAACCTCGAGGACATCGCATTTATATTTTGTTCAGGGACCCATTCGTGCACAAAGTGCTTTTCAAGGGAAGAACCCCATGGAAATGACGCCAATCATTTGGACAGGTTTCTGATACATTTCCTATTTGTCATGTGTGGGGCATCCTGTGGGTACAGGGCTACTCTCATTAGCTTTGTTCTTGCAGCCCTCCGTAGGGACCCTGACGGTTTCTTCCAATTGTGAGATGACCTGCCCGGACCATTTTGACTCCGGTCCATTCCCAGGTGCTTCAGGAGTCCTTGGGTGGCAATGCCAAGACTTCGCTCATCATCACTTGCTCCCCATCGTACTACAATGAGCAGGACGTCACTGCATGCTTGTGCAACAGCGAGACGGCTCCTTTTCCCAAGTTGGAAAGGAGACTATCAGCACGCTTCGTTTTGGCCAGAGAGTGGCTTGGCAAGGAGAGTTTGGATGTATGCTTGAGATGTGCATCGACACCTAGGCCAAAATGATCAAGAATGTGGTGAAAGTGAACCAGGAAAGGTCGGTGGAGGCCAGCTGCCAGATTATTGCCATACTTGCACGCCTCGACGTGTGCAATCGTGCTTTGCCCCCGATGAACAAATCAGCAAGATTGATGCTGGGCTAAAGTCAGTGCTTGGTTGGTATGGTCAAACGTGCATAGGTGCCTGCCGCACGCCGGAACCATGTTGAGCTCAATACGTGTTTGAGAACTAACCCTGACTTGATTTTCTTTGGCTTCTACCCTAGCTTCAAAGGGACAACTTAAAGGGAAACCAAATTGCGGGCTTGCGTCGCATTGGCCACGATCTCCGCGCGCTCTTCATCGCAGGAGCTCAAGCTCCTTCTCAAGAAGCGGGATCAGGCCATCGGGAGGGGAGGGGAATGGCGGACGTCTCACAATAAGGATTTGTCTTTTTTGATGGGGTGTAAAAGCAACCCAGAAGGGAGCCGGCCATTTGTGGGGGTCCCTATTTTGAGAACACTCAAATTCTGCATCAGGGCGGCGGGCATACAGGAAGTGCATTTTTTAATCAGAGAGGAGGTCCACAGGAAGCAACCCACGCTGAGGGGCTCATCGAGCCAGTCCATGCTCTCTCTTTGTGTGTGTGTGTGTGTGTGTATATGTGTTTGTGGGTGTATTTTGAGGGTACTTTTTTGGGGTGGTTCAAACGTTCAAACGGGAAGCCACAGCCACTATTTTGCGGCTCCCTATCCTGACCTTGCCGAGCGCCTCGATTTCAGGCAGTAGCAGAGCTGCGCGCTCGCATTGCCCTGCTGCAAGCCTAGAGCCAGACTACCTGGGTCCGATTTGTTGGTTCAGGTTGGGTCAACATATCCAGTATGTTCAGTTTGACGGGAACATGGACGAGTCGCCCAAATTTCCAATAAAGGCCAGGGGGCTTGGCCTGTTTGCCCACGGCCATCAAGGCAACCGCATCTTTTGAGAGTGGTAATCATGGATTCACTGGACAGGTCGGCAAGACAATCCTTGCAAACTTCTTGTGTGAGCGGAGTTCTTGTTCCTCACTTGCCGTTGCATTTCCGGCTGTGTTTGCAGATGCTCGACTCAGGTTGGAGAACACGCTGCGCTCCAACGGCCTAGCCGTGCCGGAGGAGCCCCGAGTGCTCCCGAAGTGAGTTTTCAAAGCTGTTTCCCTCAAAGCAACTCGCAAAAGCAGCCAGCCGGCCGAAAGGGTGTCGACTGTTGACACTTCACATGTTGGCTTGGCTTTTCTCCCCATTCCTACGGCTTTCTGCCGTGCCGGCGATGCATGTTGCACGGCTCGCATACGACCGGAAGCTCTAGGACAAGGGGCTGACCATTGCTGTGCCCAACTCGGGCACCGCGGGCGCCCCAGAAGACAGCGAGGAGTTGGAGGATCAGCTGCAGGACCAGTGGGAACAGCGGGCGGGTTGGGGGTGGTTGCCGGGGGGGGGGGGGGGGGGTATTTTTCCTTTCGGTTTCTTGTTGCTTCCGGGGTGTATTCTCCTTTTGGTTCCTTGTTGCTTCCAAGCAATCCATGACCGCTTCCGGGCTTCATTGCTGCGGCCTTTGGCTCCAGATTCGGCCCATGCAGATTGGCTCTTCCTACTCTAAACCAGCCAGAAGGAATCCCTTAACAGACCCCGATTCTGACCCTCAAACGGTAACGGAGAAGGCTTCTTGAGAAGGGCATTGCGGCATCAGATGAATGTCGAGAATCCCGGCGTCCATTTGAAATGCACCTGGCCGGAGGGTCGGGTACGGCTGTAGGTAAGCATCCTGTCTTCATGGCAGGTTTCGGGTCTTTGTTAGGGCCTGACGACGGTCTGTGGGGACTTGTTAGTCATGTTGAGAACATCTGCCACGAGCAACCGTGGTGTTTCCTGCAAGCTGGAAGGTGGGGTTCAGAGGGCACGACCCGGGTCTTGAGTCAGGAGTTGAGGGGCAAGCTGAAAGAGCAGTCTGAGCAATTGATCGAGGCGGGATCATGTTTCCAGAGCCTGCGTAGCATGTTGCAACACATGGCGACCAGCAGGGGACAAGAACGATTGACGCGGTCTTCAGGCAGCTGCTGTACAGTTTGTTTGATCCCGGTACAATGTTACAACAGTTGAGATCATGGAACAACTAGAGACAGTTTGCCAAAGGGAGTCAGACAAACAGCCCTGGGTTCCCTGCGGGAAGGCCGTTTGAATGGGTGTTCAAGCAGGTGCAAACAGATAATTGGCTGAGTCTCAATGCAAGAATTGAAACTTACAGTTGTGACTTGGGGCACCGTGTTTGGCACCCTGAATCTCATCAACGGCAAGGTGGGTAGAACATGGTGTATGGGTGTGTCGTTTTCGAGGGTACCTGCTTTTGGTTGGTTTGAAGGGAAATCAGAGAGACACCACCTACCCCATTGGAGACCTAAGTCAATGGTTCATGCACCCGAAAGGCCAACAAGGAGAAGGAAGACGTGCTTTCGTCCTCTCCTGAGACCTCGTCTCCGTGCTTGTGTGTGGCGAAGTGAGCCACAATCAAAACCTGATATGATGAAGGTTAGAGACAGTCCCAACCAAAAGCAGGTGCGGATATCCGCCCTTTTGATTTCCTGCCACAGGTTTGTGTACACTATTTAAGTGCCAGCTTTCGCAGACTGCAGGCAGCTACGTGCCGCGGAGAGCGAGCAGCGACGATTGTCATTGCAAGTGCTGAATGCCACTCGGCACGATCAAGAGTTGATTCCCTGAGGGTTTACCCCTTGTAGTCCAAACTACCCATAGATGGGCCAGTATGGGATGCAACCACCGGGGTAATTACACGCTCCGGGGTGGTGGGGTACACGACAGTGCGATCACACGACGCACATCCTGTGCTTGCCCAGCGAGGCTCATGACGAATTTGAAAGCATGCAGTACGAGCGCAACGAGCAGGCGGACACATCTTGCATGACATGTCCAAGGCCTCTCATATTTGCCTTGCGGAAGCATGAGATCACAGTTGCAGCGTTTCGCTCTGATGAATCGTCTCTGGACCGCATCTGCGTTGCACAAAGGTGTCTTCCCCAAGGTTCCATGTTGTTTTGCTTTCCCGCCCTGGTGAAGCCCTTTGTTTAAGTCTGCGCTGTAACCAACGGAGCCCTGGCGTTCCTGGCCTTCCTGGCCTTCCCAATTCCCACGTAGGTCTCCGAGCTGGAGAAGTGTCGCCTGCATGCTTTGGTTCAGGTCCGAGTCACTTGGCCAATGCACGCACCCTTTGCGGGCTTGCCTTTTCGTACAAAAGCTTTTCCGTTTGTTTGCCGGAAGTGAAAGCTTGGCAGCTTCTGGCATGGCTTTCGAGCGTCGCAACAGGCTCCGGAAGGAGAATACGGCGCTGCGGCAAGAGCTGGACGCAGCTAACAATGGAGGATTCCAGGAGAGAGCCATCGGTGCGGATGTGAAGCAGTCACCAGAAATAAGTGCAGAGATCTGCCTTTTGATTCTTCGCATGGTTTGACCAATTTAGTATTGCCAAATATTCATCTAGTATTGCCAAGACTTACTCTCAGATTCTCATGGTACTTCATGTGGTATTTCCGGTTCTAAATTTATTATTGCCAATGTTTGATCTCGGATTTCTCATACAACACAATTTCCAATTCTAGACTTGCTATTGCGCCGCAACACCTGCAACATCTCAAGTAAGAGAAACATCCAAGCATGTAATTGATGTCCACCACCCGGGTCCCAAATTAAGTTCACACCTGGGTTTACCTTGTCTGAGGGCCCCAAAATCGTGGTCTTACTTTTGGTTTCCCTTCACACTGACCCCGCAATCAAGGCACCCCCTTATATTGCTTGACGGACTCTCTAGAGGTCACACTAGAGGACTCTTTCCTCAGCCAGAGGGCTCAAATAAACATCAACCCGTGAACCAGTCAATTTGGACAAGAATGTCTTTGCCATCATGAGTGCGTTCTGCTGACCAGGAACTCACCAAGAGTCACCAGAACCTCATGCAGCCCGCGGTGCGGCAGCCTGTGCAAGTCAATGGGTGTAACGTCTTTTGTGCCAGGCAGCCAGCACACCGACGAGCAAGGGGAGCCAGCCTCAAGGATCCGGATTTGCGTTGCCAGGAACTAGAGATTCGGAATCGCGCGCGCGCGATTTGGGCCGGTAACATGCGTAGCATGCGACACCGAGGGCGGCGGCGCCCCGGCAAGGGTCTGCAGAGGAGCCTCTCCGCGTGCACGTATTTTAGTGGTCCGGTTGGGGGTTTTGGAGTTTTCGGGCTATGGGGCCGGTGAAGGACAAAGACCCAGACAGGCCGCTTAAGAAGAAGGCGGGAAGGAGACTGCCAAGCTCCGAAGATTTTGAGTGGCCTTTTGGAAGCCGGCAGGTGGAGAAGCTGGATCAGAATCTTGAGCAGCTCACCGTTTCTCGGCTTGGGGGGCTGAAGCCACGCTTTTACTTTGGCTTCATCTAGCCAAAGTGCGAGGTGATGTACCACAAGCTCGTTGCACAGAACAGCGGCTTGAAGGCGGGGGCCCTGCGTTTGACGTCTTTTCTCGGACTCGACATCTCCGTTGCGAGGTGGAGGTGACCGAGAGCGACAAGAAAATCCAGCGCAAGGACCAGCGCATTCAGCAGCTGGAAAAGAACCTGCGCGAGGCGCCTTCAAGAAATCGATAAGTTGAGAGATGCTTGCTCGCTTTCCCAGGCCAAAGGAAAGTATGAGAAGCTACTAACGCAATGTGCAAATCTCACAGCCATGATCGATGCCGGCAGCTCAGTCACTTGCATCCGGTGCGCGTTGGCTGGCGCGAACTCCAGGTGCGAGGCCGTAAGAACTGCACCTGCGGCGCCAACGGATGCAACACGCAGGCAGAAGGGGGATTGTCGGTTTGTCTAGAAACTGGGGACCCTCCCGGGGCGCAACCTCGAAAGATCTCAGCTCCCCAGGGGTCGCGGCGACAGCCCACCATTGTGCGCCCAATGCGTGGGGGAGTGGTCTCTACTCGTCGTGAGCTTGGGGGATGGCCAGATAGCCACGGTACTTGCACCGAACAGGGTCTCACGGCCGAAACCTAGCGAGGTAGCGATGCCAGCCCCGGCTTCAGTATTGAATGTGGTGTGCAGCGATTGGCTCTGCTTCTGGCGCGAGCGTGGCAAAGGCATGCTTGGTGATGCTCCCGCTGCCAGCTCAGATCAGAGGTCCAGGATGACATGCAGAATACTGACTTGCCTCTCCAAGTAGTCGGTTCTTGGGCTTCATTCGGGCGCTGGTAGACATGGCTTCATGTCCAGCCACTTTCCCGTTGAACTTCGCCTAGAGGCAACGCCTTCTTGTCGGCGCGACTGGGTGACCAAGGCACAAGCCGTCTCGCCGAGCCCGCCATCCGAGCCAGTCCCTGGCCCAGGGCCACGGCGATCGGCTCCTTAGACTTGGTCTCCACATAAGATTGTTTTGGACAGGACACCAATCACTCGGAGTTGCTGGAGAAGTTGCTAGTGTTGACTCAAGTTGTGCGAGGTGTTCAGTTTACGAACCCTGGCGGTGTTTTGCTGGGCATGGGTTGCAAAGAGAATCTGAGTCAATATCCATGTTGAAGTTAGAGTGTAGAAAGTGCGCGGGAAGCGTTGACTCATTCTACGCTGATCATATCGTCAAGCTAATTGATGTGTGCTTAGAGCTCACTGCTCTAGTGAGCAGCGTTCTAAATTCCCTGTCATTGAAAGTAGTTTTCCTGATGAATATGGATCTGAGCATGTGTTTTTCCTAGGTAGCGGAAGGCCGCTAAAGGCTTCTCGGAAGGGTTTTTCTGTTCCATTGCCCAGTCGTGAAAGGTCCGCGTAAAGAAAGCACACGTTGAAAAGCCCTGCTTTGGTGGTTTTGCCGGGCGGATGACCGTAAGCGAAAACAAACACACGAAAACCAACTCCTTCCAGCTATGATCTGAAGAAGCGGGTTGGTAAAACAAGTCAATGCAGACAGCCGGCTAGACGCGCTTGTCATTCGAGATAGAAGGTATGATGCTGGTTTGGATTTGGGGATGTTGCAACACTTCTTCAGCATTCCATGTTTAGTTTGGCAATGACTCAATGACGGAATTCGGAATACCGTTAAACGCTCTAAGCTGCTTGCTGGCATGCAGCATGTAACCATCCTTGTATTGCCCTGGCTCCCTTTGAGTCTGCTTCCTGATTTGAGTGATGCGAAGCCAGGGTACTTCTGCCAGTATCGACTTGATTGATGCACAAACTTTGTCGTCGTAGCCGGCTTGAGCCTTTACCGACCTTGCCAAGTCGACCTAGGCATCAACCCCAACTTCCTCCCCAATGTCGCTCCGAGGGGGGTGCGGCTTTGCTGTGTGTTTGCAGATTCATGAGACTATGTTATAACGCAACCAGGCACTTTGGGAGCAAGCTTGTGTTGCAGGATCAAGCCGCGAGAACCCGCAGCACGAGCAAGGCAGCCGCACCTCGCCAGACAACATGTTGATTCTCGGCACAGAACACAGCAGACTGCTGCGTGGCACTGCAGGTACGAGCCTCCCACACGATAGACTGAGGCTGAAGAAATGGCTTTGGGATTGGCCTTGCTCCAGGCATTTTTCACGAACTGGGACTGCCGTCTTGGTGATGATAACTTTGGGTGTTACCATTTGTGTGCTTCCAGCAGTCCGCGTGTCCCGTCCACTTTGGTGGGACCGGCGCGAAAGAGTCGTGAGGGTGGGACCAAGGCTCGGTCCGCTTAAGCGTCGGACAGCCCCTGAGTCCTGGACTCATATCTTTTTCGGGAGGATGCTCATGTCACATTTGTCTCACTGGCACCATGGGTGTCACAACGGCACGTTTGGTGGACAGAAGGCAGCTTGGAAAAAAGGATTGGCGGAGTGGCCGATTCAAATTTCCCTAAAGGATTGTGTCTTTTCTCGGTGTCCCTTTCTGGTTCATCCGGGGAACCCAACCATTTGGGGAGACCACACATTGCCTGATCCGTAGCCACACGGATCAATACTGCTTCACTTCACATGTCAGAAGCCTCGGAGCATTGGCACCGGAGCAGAGTATTGCCACATTTGCTGAAGGCGGCTAGGCGCTGTTCGCAAGTCCCTCCACCGATGGCAGCACCCCACTTTTCAGGAACAGCACCCCACTTTACATCTCTTGAGAGAAAGCAACGGCTTCCTAAATGACATGGCGTCCCGGGCTTGGCGAATGCACTCTGGGGCAGCAGTTGCAGCAACTGGTGTAAGGTCACTCTTTGGAGGCCCCCAGCCCCAAGCTACAGCGACAGCCGAGCCGGCATGATTCATATGAGCCGCATCAAGCCAAGACGTGGAAGCTTTTGCGTCAGCATTCAGCAGGTGACGGCGTTGGGGAATGTCGTTGTGAGGCCTTCAAGGGGGAAGATCCCTTAAAGTTGTTTCTTTTTTTTTGCTGCTAAAGTACTGAGTTCCAAGTTTTGTGTACCGCATCTCGCAAGATATGCTTGGGAGGCGGTGCGGCTGAAATGGGCATGGCAGAGTGTCATGTTGAGAATTACCCCTTTGCAGGCATTATTTAAAGAGAAGCCAGCGTGACCCTCCCCCACTTCTGCCCACCCCCCCGACTTTTGGCCCCCCCCCCGTGTGAGACAAGCCCAAATCAATGTGATTGAACACGCGCAACGTGCATGTGGAGCCAGATATTGCATGATATGATGTCTTTTTATGAGCTATGCCACGCGCCTGCAATGTGCAAAGCCAGGAATCTGACGCTGGCGGCGGCTATGCGCTCAACTCGACCTGCAGTCATGTGGTGTTTCAGAATTGCGCTGTGTGCCAGGCTCGGATGTCTTCGGGTTTGTGGGAAGTTCTGAAGGCGCGGGAACGGGGCCACCTTGATGAAAGGCCATGTCGTTACCCAGACCGCAATGCACTGTGGAGCAACCCCAGCACAACCCAAGACAATGACACGAGAAGTCATTTCTTGGAGCCTTTCTTTGCGTGCAAATGAAGTGTTCCACCCCCCGAAGTCATGCCAAAAAGAAGTCTCCATGTGTGTGTGTGTGTGCGTCTGGTGCAGGCGCAGGCGCCTCTGGCGGCTCTGCCTTCAGCTTCTTGAACTCTGAGGCGGCACTGCCGCAACGGGTGGGGGCAAGTTGTGACACGGAAACCGGAGGAACCGAGAACCCGAGTTTTCGGGTTTTCGGCATCTCTCAAATTCAACTTGGCTCGCCTGTTTGTGTCAAAGGCCACCGCCGTGAAGTCCCAGTTTGAGAAATTTTGGGCGTGCTTGGAGGCCTTGAATGGCCCGGCACATTGGTGTTCGATTGCACGAAGATCCTAGTAAACCCAGTCTCCTAGAATTCCTTTTCGGTGTTTTGAGACATCACCTTTTGGGCCAATGTAAAGTGAGTTTTCTTCAAGGCAATGTTTAATGTGGAACTTTTGGTCTTGATATATTGGTGAGATGTCCAGCACGAGTCAAGCTGGGCTAGGCATCTGCAGTTGAGGCAAGCTGCTGTTCTGTGATGCGAGGTCACGCAAGCACCTCCTGGAGTGAGGCGCTAAGACTCAGCGAGGAAGCTGGCGACTGCGAGCCGTGCTGGCAGAATGATGGCTTGTACATCCCTGCACTGGGGCACTGGGATTTAAAGTGATGAAGGGTTTGGGACTGTTTGCGTAGTCGACCTGAGTTTCTGTCTACTGGGCTTCTTCCGGGGCTTGGGAAACTTCTAATGAAAAGGCCATCGTCCAAAGCCATACGCACAGGTGTAAATCTTGAAAGTGTAGAGAGGAATCCGACGGCAGCCACCAAAGGAAAACTGCGCGAGCTGCAAAGCTGGCCTTTGCGGGCAAGCCACTTTAGTACCAGATTTTGGTGATGACTCAATTGGAATGCCAGCGCATTGATTCATATTGTGCGACTCGCTAAGGAATCCGTGTTTTCCTTTCTCAACAGTGAGGTGCAGGACTCAGAGCGGCTGCGAAGATTCATGAGCAATTTGAGGAGCCGAAATGCCCCACAGAGGCCTGTGATCCACGTCCTCTTGAAAGCATATTTTCCGTGGCTCAAATGGCGATCCTGCTCCGCTTCACCGCGCAAGGTCACGGCAGAGCCATCTGGAGGTGCCACTGAAAAGAGCAGTCCTTTGTCCTCATCTCAGCAATGAAATGACAGGGGTCCATACTTCCAATACTTCCACCCTTGGTTTCAGCATCACCTTCTGAACCAATTGTGATTGAGTTGGCTTTTGGGTGTAATGTTTGAAGGGACGTGAACTCATGGGACGGCTCCATCAGTTTGATTGGTTTAGTCGCTTTATGGCCTCCAAAAGATGGGCTGGGGTTGAACTCTCTGGGTTCTAGTTGCACTGGCGGCTGAGGATGAACACGGACCAAAGTTTGGCCTCTATGGATCAGGTTATTATTTTGAAAAGAGATCCCACTGAAGAGGCCCAACCAGATACGGAACCAGGGAGTCATGAAGGGTCAACATGCAGATTGGGCACATAGGACGAGCGCTCACACTTTGTTTCTGCAGCATTGCAGAGCTTGCGCCAAGGGAAACCTCGGCCGCCCCGCTGAGCTCTGCGTTCTCCTTCGTGAGTGGAGGAAGCCAAAGCTCTTATGCTGCTGCCTCAGTTTTCGCAGCAAACTTGCAACCAAAGGGGACACCCTTTGGATCACATACTGAGTCACACGTCATTTTGAGACGAGGGAGAGAGGGAAAGAGGGCGAGAGGACGAGAGTTTTTTTTTAATATAAAAAATCTGGCAGGCCCCGATCGAGCCAGCAGGTGGGATTGGCGTTGTTTTGCTAGATTATTTTGCTCTTTTGTGTCATCGGAGGAAGCCAAAGCTCTTATCCAGCTGCAGCATCGATGCTCGGGAGCTTGGACCAGGTTGGAGCTCCGGGCTCATAGAGAGCATCCCGAGCCAGTTTGCTCTGATACCTTCTCATGCCATCACGAGCACATGAAGTTGTCGGAAATTTGGCAGGCGCCGATTGAGCCGGCAGGCCAGCCGTGTTGAGCAGGATCAAGCAAGCGCCCGGACTGTCTCATGAAAGCAAGCCTTTGTTGCTTGGAACGTCTGGGATGGGTCCGTCAGCTGCGCAAGATCTAGACTTTGCGGTTCTGTCCTTGCGCACGGCCAGGTCTGGACGGTGCTCGCAAGAAGACCCGCAAGGCCTCGTGCAGGTCGCTGGTTTTGGGCTCAGTCCATCGGTCCTGGGAGGCCTTGAGACCGGGCCACGCCTCGCGGCCCGAGGAGGCCAGAGTTCAATTTTCCCTCATGTGGCAGGTGAATGGTGGCACCCCCGGATATTTTTTTCACGGCGAACAGAACTTCCTCCTTTTTTGAGGATCCTTTTTTGAAGGCGGCGCAGGCACAAATGCCACCCCTTCAGCCCACGTCGTTGATGCGATACCTCCTCCAAGGCTCAGGGTCGTGTCCTTGCCATCCCAGTGTGATGTGCTCGCAGGCAGCACAGGACGCGCCCCTCGGGCACGATTTCCAGGCTGGGCCTTCCCTGTGGTTGTGAATGTGTCTTTTTGTGAGTATCATTTGGGTTTTTCAAGGAGAAGCCTACCCTTTCGTTAGATAAACGCAGTTTCTGCTTGCTCAGCCTTCACCTTCACAACGGCTGATGTTGCAGACCACAGCGCGGAAACACCAAGTTGCAATTGTCGCAGGAGTCTGGTTAAAGACCAAATCAGCCCCTTTGGAAGTTTTCCGAATTGCGGGAAAGCATCAAACTGCGGACGCCATCTACTTGAGTTTCACCGTGGGCATTCCCAAGTGGGACCAACTGCCTGAGCTGTTGAACAAGTCCATTGGCGCGCCAAATCCAATGCGACAGTAATCCAACTCGGCCTTTGCAGCTCCTCAAAGTAGCCTGCGCCGCCCCCCCCCCCTGGGGCAGTGAATCCCCAAGGAAACAAAATGGCAGACTTACCCCCAGTGATTTTGTTACGGCTTCAAGCCGATTGCTGTGAGGCACCAGACTTCCACGTGCCAACTTGGAAAGCACAGGAACCCTTGGAAGCCATCGGAAAAGACTCGGTTCTTTGCGCTCCCAAGCGAAGCATGAGTGTGGACCATTGAAGGTCTAAGATGGTAAGCATTATACATGGCTGAGGCTCAAAATTTGAGGTCCGGATCAAGGGCCAAAACCCCACTGGCGATCCAGACTCCCGATCCAGACCAATCCATACCCGTTTTGCGATCCATTGTCACATATGTTTACTATATATATATATATATGTGTGCGCTTGTTGAATGCTTTTTTCCAATGACCTACGAGTTCGGCGCTCAGTCTTACACAAACAAACTTGTGTATGTGTGTGTATGTATGAAAATATAGAGACATAGCCCTGGTGGGAATGATGAGACTATCGCTGCGCCCCACTGCCGGCAGCTCGCAGGCGAAGCCGCCGCCTCCGCCGGAGCCGCAGAGGCCTCAGAACAGCCTTTTGCTTGGTGCGGATGTTTGGCCAATGTGGAAGTTTCTCTAAATGGTGGACCCAATTTTCTTGGATGGCTTAAATGGGAAACCACTAAAAAAACACATGTGCGTGCGCGCGCGCGTGCGCGCGTGCGTGCGCGCGTGCGAGGTTGTGAGGGTGCCTTTCTCACCTTGGTTGAAAGGGAAACCAACTGGAAAGCAAGTTTGCTTTTTTGGGGCCAATTTCACACCTACCCATGTCGCTATGAATTTTGATGGGGACCACGCTCCGAAACGTCGGGCTCAGCAGACAAGGATGGAGCAGCACACGTGCTCTCCTCCGGGGCTACCATTGCACACCACGCAACGCGCATGGGAGTTGTTTGATTTGGGGCTGTGAGAAAGGCCCCATGGTGGTTGGTCAGAATTGGGAGTGAAGTTCTGCGGTGCTTGGTGAAGGGAGCAGCATGAGGCAGCCAACTGCTTCTTGACCAACAGTCAAGTTTCAGCTCTTGCGCTCGAGGTACGATACAGGGCCGCTGGATCAGCTAGCCGCAGAGGCTGGGGTTCTCAGGTCCAATTGACATCCAGGGAGCTCAGCTGGTAAGACGGACCTCGTGGTGGATCCCTTAAAAGGCTGCACAACAGGACACGATCCAAAAAGGGCCCCCTACTTGCACAACCCCTTCGGGGCCATCGACTGGGAAGCAGCCAGGACAAGCTAAACCCTGGCACCCCGCTGTGCATCTTGCTCTGCAGGCACAGGGCGCTGCTGGCCTCTCCCCTGTGCAGGCGCGGACGCACAGCAGATCTTCCGCGGCTGAGCATCTGGCCAGGAGGTGACCATGGACAGAGCCCCAGTGCAGACCGTTGAGAGCAAGACCGTGGAGCCTAGCCAGGCTTGGAGCAGAGCGTCCGTCGAATTACCTGGGCGCTTTTTAGTGTCCAATACTTGCAGGCGACTCACATCCCAGAGCCGGTCGAACAGGCGGGAAGAATGAATTGAAGGTAGCTTGTGACAGCTGATTTCGCGTCAGTTGATGTTTCTAGGGGTCAGACATGATTCTTTGGAGTGAGGGCCAGGATCAAGACTACTAAAGATACTTGGTCCACATGACTTCGATGCCGAGGGACACAGCACAGCCAACGCATGAAATCGACGGCCGAGTCCTTTTGAGGGGCAAACAATTCCCTTCCGAACCTGGCCTGGACGTGTTTTTTCTTTTTTTCTCCCCAACAGCTGAAAGCTTCGGGGTCTCAGCCCAGATAGGCTCCGGGGTGGTCCGGGGCGTCCCTGAGGTAAGGTTCCACGAGGGTTCCACCAGGGTTCAACGAGGGTTCCACGAGGGTTCCATGAGATTCTGCGAAGGCTGCGGGGTGGTGCGAGCACTACAAACAGCATCGCATGCTGTTGGGGATATCACCTGAGCTTTTGTTTCTTCTTCTTTTTTCTCGGGTACCCCTTTCGGGTCCACAGCAGCTCCAGCTGCCCAAAAAAGTGAACAGCACGCCAGCACTGCACACCATTGAACTTCTTGCCCAAAAGGGGACAGATGAGCTAAGCAGAGCTGCACGGACTGGCTCCCTAGTGCGTGAGCTGGGATCAACTTACGTCCGCAAACATCCAACCAATAAAGAGTCAAAGCCAAATGGCCGTGTTTTTTTGGAGCGCCATCTTGGCAGATATACTCGGATATGTTCGCGGAGTCTTTGCAGGCTCCTGCTGTGGAGGGTCGGAGCCCGGAGCCGATGGACAGGCGGGTGACAGAAATTCCGCTGACCAGTTCCACAAAGAAAGCATATCTGGAAGCCTTGTCACGTCTGGTGCTGAGAAGGTAGGTTGCATTGCGATGTGACGATCTGTGGTGCCTCTACATCTGATCGCATGAAGCCCGCATTCCAAGCTGTCGCAGCCAAAACTACACATGCAAAGCTTGCTCGCTCACACGGGAGTGCGCCAATCTGTGGTCTGTGGTTTTGTTCCTGACACTGAAGATCATCTAGCTCATAAAGCCAAATGCCCAACGCGTCCGTCCAAAATCTGGAACAAACCAGCGTAGTGATTGAAGGGGATAGGCCGATCAGCCAGGAAGCTGACTTGCTTTCCTTTGCCAGGCCCCCAGAGCCTGCCGAGAAGCCCCTCAGGGAGCCCGAGGCGGCGACGCCGGAGCCAAAGCCGGAGCCGAAGCCAGAGCAGAAGCCGCCGCCGCCCCCCCCGCCGCCGCCCTCTCCGCGGGAAGCTAAGACGCGGGGTTCCAGGTATGCTGGACATCGACAAGTAAGTGTTCGTCAGTTTAGCATTTGTGTGTGTGTGTCTGTGCGTTTTTTGAGGGTACTCCTTCTAGGGTCGTTTCAATGTGAAGTCTAAAGGAAAACCGCCAGTTTTGGGGTCCGCCTATTTTGACTCATGACGCATACCCGGTTAGTACGCAACCTGCTGTGGTCAGATGTACATCTGAGGGTTTTTGCATTACACCCTGGGATTACACCCTTGGGAAATGACCCAGAATGGTTCCAAATAACACGGTTTTATCTGGAAATGTGCCTACATGGGGTCAATACCCAGTGGGTGTATTCCCAGGGTGTGATACAAAAACCCTCAGAGTACAAGTCGCAATGTGAGGGAAGAGCAGCTGCAGCGTGCGCCCTGTGCCCAGTGCTGTCATGTCATGTGTCGGGTGGTTCGCAATTTGGGGAGGCCAGCCGTGCCCATTACATGAGACTCGGCTAGGCTCGGCAATTGCCATTGGCCATGAAGTTTGTTGTGGAACACCCTCAAAATGATTAGTGGACAAGGCTTCACAAAGAACGATGTCCACCCCAGAGCATTTACTTTATTCCCCTTGTTGGGCCGTTGAATTCGTCCCCAGTTTAACAGTTTAGCTTCCGGTTCCGAGGTTCAACGTGTCCGGCGTGCGCCAGTGGTTGGATGTCCAGCTGCTGGAGAGTGAGAAGGCTGGACAGACCCAGGCTGAGAGACCAGAAATCAACAGATTTTTCCTGTGAAGCACTTTGAGACTTTGTGGGCTGTAAGGGATAACAGCTTTTGGGGGGTCTAAATTTAAGACACTTTCATATTGGCTCTTTGTTTTGTGGGGGGGAAGCAAAAGGCTGGTTGCAAAGGCAAACAGAAGGAAACCATCTTTTGGGGATACACATTTTGAAAGACCCCCATTCGTCTTTAGACGGACAATCTTTGACCCCCCCCAAAAGGGTGCCATAAAAACAACACACTCGTCTATGTGGCTTTCAGTTAAAAGCCCCTAGTCCAACAAACTTGAACAGGGTGTTAGATCATTTGGCTCCAAACAGTCGAAGACGCTGTCAGCGCAGTGACAGGAAGGCAGCAACTCACAATTGAGCCTGGCAGCACGGGCTTGAGCTGATGTGGTGGACACCGCGATGCGGAGTTGTACTAGCAGTCCTGGGCCCCACACCCTGCCCGCTCGCGCGCGCTCACGCAAGCAGGGCGGGAGGGGTTTGCCAATGGTGGCCAGTTCTGACCTAGAGGTGTTGTCCAAGCAGCAACATTTCAGGCAACAACTTGGACTGCACTGCAACACTTGACTTAGACTTTTCTAAGCACAATCAGGATGCAATGGATACCACAACAGAACAGAGTGAAGTTCAACCACGCGCAAAGGGCACACGCATACTGACATGATGGGGGTTTTGATTTGTGACTAGGAACTTGGTGCTCGCTGCGAGACCCGTGCTGTGCGATGCTGGTGAAGGGCAAGATCTTGTTGAGCACAGCTTCTTGCAAGCAGCTACTGATTCTTGGCACCTCTTGGTGCCTCAGACTCACAGTAAAAAGACCATTGCAACGAGCTGGCTGAGATGCGTCACAAAAGATGACGTTGAATAGACTCTGCGAGCATGGATGTTCCCCGTTCTGCATGCAAACCTCGCTTTCTGCTGCGGCTTTTTGCCTTCTTCTTCCTTTGCTGCTTTGCTTTTGGCCGTTTGTTTCTTCGCTTCTGGCTTCTGGCGTTGTTTCTTTTGCTGCTCGGATTGTGTTGTCTCTTGCAAGGCGGCAAAGTGGCAAGACACAGCATCGCCGGGATCTGTTTCTGCCTCGACGCCAGGAGCACAGGCGGCTACTGGAAGCAGAGGCGCGGAACACATGCGAGCAGCCGGCTTGCGTTCCATGCGGAATGGACTGTCAACTGAGCCAGCTTCAAAACTCGGGCCATTTTGATTGTGTAATGACATTGATTTGGGTAGACCAGTTTAATACCAGGCTTTGAATTGTGTCTCAATTGGTGCTTCGCAGCTTCCCGCAATCACTCATGCTGTGATCGCCTTGATTGGGTCAGTTCGGCAGTTAAGCAGTTCAACACGTGTGAAGCACTCTCAATCCTCGCCGTAGCTGCAAGGCCTCTTGCCTCTCAGCCAGTCAGCAGACGGCAGAGAACATCACTGCACTCCGCGCGAAGCTTGAGAAGACCGAGGCTTGGGCTTTGAGAGGATTGTCAGATATTGTTAGTGTGTACTGACGACTGCTCTTGGAGATCTACCCCTTTCGCGGGTCTTGAAAGGATGCGATGAGATTGGTGGCCTTTGGGACCAGTGCACGTGTTGTTTTGCAGCCATGGTTTGCCGCCTCCAAATTTGAACCCTGAAGCCCTCAACCACTGCCCTCATCTTTATCCTCAACCGCAGGACCGTGAACGTCACCCAAAGCTTTGATATCAGGTGAGTACGGTGTGTCATGTGTGGGCAAGCCATTTGTTTTGCTGTGCAAGTTTGGGCTGCCTTTGTGCCCTTCCGGTTCGGATTCTCGTTGAGGAATCCAATCGACCGAACAGCAACCTTTGGAGGGATGCCTCCATTTGTCTGCTTGCAGCGGGATGCAGCGATTCCGAGTGCTGTGTTCTCCATGTTGAAAATGCGGGGTCGGCTTTCTGTGCAGGCAGAGCAGAACAGCCTGTGTGACAAGGAGCAGTATGAAGAGGTGCGGCTTCGAGTCCATTGTGTTGTTCTCATCACCGGTCAAGACTTATCATGAGCTCATTAGCTTAAAGCATGGGATTGTACTCTTACCACCGCGAGCCAACATCAGGTGCCGGAGTGATTTTTACTCACATTGAGGCAGATGCCTTGGATGTGACCATCCAGGAACTGAAAGACAAGATCTCCAAGGAGTTTGAGGAGGCAGGGCGAATCAATCGCTTGGCTCCTCTCGGCTAAAGTGGCAAGCTGTAAGGTATCCTCCCAAACCCCTCTCTCCATTTCGGTGTGAAAAGTGGTTCTTTTTTGTGTGTTTGTTTGTGTCTTTGCCTGTGCCGCTGCCCGTGTCTGTGCGGTTTTTCCGCAAGCCTCTCCAGGTTGCCAGTGGCGCCAAGAAGCTGGTCACCTTCGCCGGGAGCTTGCTCAGCCTCTCCAGGCGGTATGCCGTTGAGGTTCCTGTTTTTGGGGTTGGTTTGGGAAACCAAACAGGAACCGCCCGATAGGGGAGTTGGCGAAGGGTGACGTTGAGTTCGGATGAATCAACCTAGCGGAGTCACGTGGGGGGGGGGGGCTCCCAGGGACGCTTGGGGTTTGTTCATTCTGGGCTTTCACTCGCAATCACTCCAAGCTCCCAACCCAACGCGCCTTTTTGAGCCATGCATGAATCAAAGTGTTAGCATTCAGACTGATGGTGTGCTGTTTGCCAGGGATCGAGCTTCACTGGCCAAACAAGCCTTGGACCGCGTGGAGGTCTGGGTGATCGGTCGGGGCGGCATCGCATTTTGGCATAGGACACTGAAAGGAGGAGGGGTTCATCACTTGACGGGCGGTTGCCAGGCGCTTCAGCTGGAAGGAGATGAGGCCGGCCTTAGGTGATGTAGGGATGCGCGACATGAGCTTGTGGCAAGAGAGATACATGTGCTTCAGCATGACCCAACTACGTTCAGAAGCGAGACCATCGTGAGGGAAGTTCAGCCATCTTGCAGTCTTGCAAGTCTTGATTGTTGGGACTGTACATTCATTCGTCTCTGCTGCGTGGCGACGTTGCAACACCGACTTTTGCAGCCTGCAAGAATCTATAGCAGCATACGGGGCGCGTTGGCCGAGAAGGGTTCCAAACAGCGAGGCATTGGGCCGAGTGAAACGTGCCTTGACCACAAGGCCTTCAAGACGACGGAGGAGCGTTGCCAGCGAAGGTTGTCGGCGGAGCAGGCCCGGCTGTGAGTCGTCCGTGCGGGTGGCTGTGATCTTGACAACTGGCACCTTGGGGCTGCTGAGGCTTCACTTTCGATTGGGTACCTTCTCGCGGCAAAGGACAAATATGGGTTTCTCAGAATCGGGGGACCCAACAAGTTCCTTCAGTTTCCCCTTAAAACAACCCAGCGCCGAAGAACAGCATACCCACTTCTTCCCCTAGGTCAACCCATTGACTGCCAGGCCCGCTTGGAGTCCGAGAGGCGGGGAAAGACGATCGAAGTCTAGCTTGACCCCTAGGTGTCCTTGACATTTAGGTCAACTTGAAGCTATGGGTGCCACTTTCAGTTCCCTTTCAAATCATCTAGTGCCATCTATTTTGCCAAGGATTGGGCGCAAAGCCAAGAATCCCTGCATAGGTCTGCACAGCGGATCAACCCCCGGGGCTCCTGTGCTTCAGTTCCTTCACTATTTCCAGAAGTTGATGTCCGGCAGGAAGCGCATGGACCTCGCGGAGTCACACATTCAGAAGGACGGATGGATCATTGTCTTTGCGGTTCAAATATCCTGGCCAATTTGACAGGAGTAAAAGGCACCTTGAACTTGTGGCATTGTAATTCCCTGCCAATTCACAGTGCCGCGCAGTGTCGGTTTTGGAGTTGCAATCCGCTTTGCCTTGTTGAGGATTCTGCGAATCTTCAGGAAGAGTGGCAGCAGGCTGGGCCCAGGTCTTGTTTAATAGGCTGAGGCGGAACATATTGGCATGTGTTTTGCTTTTGGTTTGCCTTAAACAGCGCCCTGAACAAACACAAGCCAATTTGGTGCCTTTTCCTGTGAGCCAGACAGTTCCAACATATTTTCCAGCGCAGATGTGCAGGTGAATGAGGCCATCGACCAGCAGACGGTGGAGGATGTTGACGACTGGGCCCAAGAGGCGTCCTTTGACCCCAGTCACTGACCGTGTGATTGGTTTCGGGGGACACGTGTCACAAAAGCAGATCGGGTCCCAACGTCCCATCTTGTGGGGAAGCAAGTCATGTTGACCGTTGCTCATTTGTGTTCAGATCAGAGGCACCGGGAATGCTCCCAAACCTTCTGTCAGCTGCCAAGGAACGGGATACGGCGATGGCCAAGAGGTCGGAGCTTGATGAGGAGATCCGGGAGTTGGAGAGGCCGACGGGTGGATATGAGCCATGCTGATTGCAATGATTGCAATGGCAGATGTGAGCATAGGCTTGAACAGATACATTTATGTGGGCTTGTCTTTTTTGTACGGAACCCTTTTTTTAAAATATATAAAGGCAACCCAAAAGGAATACCATAATTTTGGTGCTCGCTGAAAAAAGACACATCCTACATATATATAATATATATATATATATATTTATATTATATGTATATATATATATATGTATATATATATATATATTATATGTATATATATATGTATATATGTATATATATATATATGTGTAATCTTTTTTCTCTCTCTCTATAATTATATATATACACGTACACAATCGAATTGCAGTGTGTTTATATATATATATATACACTCCTGGAACGTACAGGCGCACATCTCCGTGAATCTGGAGTAGACACAACACGGATTGCTGGCCATTGTCAGATGGCTGCCTTTGTTTCTCTTTTGAGCAAGACCTCGTTTCGCTTCCAGCTTTGCGTCATCCCTTGGTGGACTTCGGGGAAGCATCATTCGTGGGAGGCTCCTTGCCAAAAAGCTGGAGCAGCGAAAGGAACTGACGCAGGCCGTCTGAGGGAGTTGCGGGGTTCTGAGATCAATGATCCCAGCCTCGCGGACTTGCCGCGCAGGTCATTGACTCCTGCGACATCAGAGTCGCCAGCATCAGGCCGATTTTTTTTCTACAACCTGCACTCGTGTGAGGGTGGCGCAGTTCGCAGTTCGTGACTTATGCTATGCGGCACCGCTTTCAGATATTGCTCGGGCAAATCTGGCTGGACAGGTCCAAGTTTGAGAAGCAGCTCGGCCGGCTGGAAGGCAGGCACAGCATGCTATGGCTAGTGAAAAGGGAAACCCCATTTTGCATTTTGGGACCTGAGCAACAAAATTAACATGGGCGCCACCCAGCTTTTCCATGCGGGCTCACCATAGGACCCAGCAGTTCTCTCCTTCCAGGCAAGCAGAAGAGACTAGAGGAAGCGCAGAAGGAGATGGAGGTGGATTCGCAGCAAGCGCGGCTCTGAGCGCCAAAGGCCAATCAGGCCTTGTCTTCAAACATCAGGCCGTGTCTTTCATCCTGGGGGTTGCACCAAAGCTAGAGACGAACCCACATATTGTTCCTTGGCCATTTGCAAGGCCTGAGAACGTTACGATGTTTCGTCAAGTATCCTTTGACGCTTGCTGTCTCAGCCGCCGGTGTCCGTGAGGTGTCCCAGATGGAAGCAGAGCTGGAGAAGGAGCGGGAGGACAGGACCTGTAAGAAAGATGCCGATTTCGCCACGAGTTTCAGAAAAGGTGGCAGTCAAGCCATGGAGGTATGCAGGGAGTGACCGGAGATGCTCCTGACATGTCTTACATCCCTTCGAAGATGCTCTGCGTCGGGCTGAGCCTTCAGGCGCTGAAGGATCAGGAAACTTATCACCGGCAGCAGATGAAGGAGATCCGGAAGGCCTCCAAGGATCTGCGGCGGCAGAGGCGAGGGCCGGGGGGGACAAGGCACAGAGCCGCACCTCTGCCACGCACGGGAGGCTCCAATTTGGAGACCTGAGCCACTGAGCGTTCGTCACGTGGCGACCCGTGCAGGTGGTTTCAGTCCGAAGTCATCCAGCGCCGTGTGGTTTGGCAGAGGCTGATGGAGCCGCATCGAGACTCTTTGAATGAGGCCGGGATACACTGGCGCCATACTTGTGCGGGTTCTCTCGAAGCCGGCAGTTCAGGTGGCATGGCGAGGATAATGTTGCTTATGGTTCAAAAGCCGGAACGCAGGCAGCAACCATCAGAAGGACTTCGCAACACTGCCCCCGGCGCATGTTTGCCCTTCTCGGGTCCCAGAAAGGGACCGTAATCTTGATTCGCGAAGCAGCTGCAGACAGGTGGCTATCTAAGGACATCGTTCACATGCGGATTTATTTATGCCCACCCATCTGGCAGGTGTTCCAACAACTTCGATTCATAGCCAGATGTTGTGGCATGTGAAAGCCAGGGCCACTTCCAAATGGAAGGGCTTTTGTTGGTTTCGACCACTCGAACTCATAGCCTGGTATTCTCATTTTTTTCTGTTTAAACTCCGAGACATCCGCACCTGAGATGGATCAACCACCCACTGGTGGGTGGATTTTGTCCATCACTCCCGTTTGGGGTACCCGTTTTGATTTGGCTCAATCGACGCCGGCCACTCCGCCTGACGCTCAGGCGCGGAAGGGCTGGGAGCAGGCCACGCAGAAGTGCGGGGAGCTGTCGGCAAGATCTGCCAGCCAAGAGGCAAGCCGTCGGGACGGAGGGACGGCCGTCGGTGTCAGCTTTGGCAAATTTTGCAAATTTTGCCAGGGTCGAACGCATGTCTGTCAGGTGCTTTCAAGCACTGGTTTGAAAAGGCCAGCTTGGTTCGCAAGTTTCTTTTTGCCTCCGTTGGCTGGTAGCATGAGCTTCAAGAATGTGAGGCAGCCCGACATTGAGATGAGTGAACCCCAGGCTTCCCGTTGCTTTCTGTTTCAACCCCGGAAAGGGCACTTTCAAAAGACACACACACACACACGAATACTGGCATCTTGAAAGTGAACATTTCGGGGTCCCGGCGATTTATACAAACTGCAGTTTAGCTCGGCCGGTTTTCAGCAATTCTTACTACAAGGTACCGCGCTCCCAATCGACCGTATGTCAAAGATGGGATTTTACATGCGGCTGGGTGGGGGGTGGGCGGGGCAGTACCGTTCTTGTCACATGTAAACCATCATATGATACCTCCGCTGCCCGTCTGCCAACACGGCGCCATAGCCCGCATCTTCACTCAAGTAGTGGCTTATTTTCACGCGCACTGCTACCAACGGTAGCCATGCCTAGACCGAAGCCCTTATAACATGAGGCCCATATTCTCAAACAGCGAATGCAAGCACACTTTCTTCATTTGCCTTGGGTGATGTAGCCATCTGGCAGCTATGGTGCGCGCTGGAAACTGAAAAAGCTGTTCAAACACCATTAGGCTAAATGCAAGGCCCCGAGGCAGCTTTTCAGCACAGAAAAACAAACTGGCTACCTGTCCTGAATCCAAAAACACGGTCTCAACTCTTCGCAGCTGCAAACCTCACCACTCAAACGCAACGAGAGAATGTAGCACAATGAAGTTAGTCGTTGCCTCCAAAAATGCTCTAGCTGGACCCAGAAATTGATGTCTCGAACCTGCCCATCGAAAAAACTAAAACAAAATAAAACAGAATAAAATAAAACAAAATAAACAAAATAAAATACATAATACTAATAATAATAATACTAATAATACTACTACTACTAATAATAATAGTAATAACAATAATAATAATTAAACAAAAAAAAAAAAAAACGATAATAATGATAATAACAATAATAATTGTTTTTGGGGGCATGTAGTTTTATCATAGCATGTTTCCATGCCACGGCCAATGCGCCGTCTGGCTCAAGCTTTTCACTCGTCGACTTTGCCCGCCATCTCGTCGGAAACAGCCCGCGGCGCTCCTCACGCCGGTCGCACTACGTCGCGGCCGTCGTTGCTGGGGCGGTGGTCTTGGACCCGGAGGTGGGTCGGGTTTTGGTTGGAGTGCGCTGCTGCTGCTCGCTCTGCTCGCTTGGTGCTGCTTGCCGCTGGTTTGCTTGCTTGCTCTGCGCTGTGCTGCGCTTCTGCTTGGTTCATTCTTGTTACAAACGAGGCACCCCTTTTGGTTCGTGTTAGTGCCGGCCGGGGGCAACTGCTTTGCCCTTGGGACCGGGGGGATAAGGTGGTCTCTTCTTGTTGGTGGGTTAGGGCCTGTTTTATCCATCCCGAAACTCTGTTTCAAACCCTTTCGCAGGTTATCAGCCGTAGGATTCGTCCTCGGTTGGCACCGCGAACCCCTTTTTAATAACAACCCTGCAGGCGCCGTTTTCCATAGGCTACTGTAGGACTCATGGCGGGAATCACTGAGGATGGACCTCATGTGGTGACCGATGAGTGGGTTCTCGGCCAGGCCGGAATCTTGGACGTTGTGAATGACGGCCAGGTGCCCAGACAGCCGATGTTTTCAGGTCCTGATTTTTTGTCGGACAACACTTTTTCAGAAGCAATGCCTTCAGAGAGGTCCAGTGCTACTCGCACTGATGATCTGTCATCTAATGCCTCAAGAGCTAATCGCTCTCAGGGTCGTGGGACTAATCGTCCTGACCATGATGATTCCGTCTCAGGACGTGATGATGACGAGCCCGGTATTGCACCTGGAGCTCAATCCTCATCTTTCCCCGAGCTGATGAATATTGGTCAGTCCGAGGTTCGTGACTCCCGAGGCAGCAGTAGACCTGTGCCAACCAGTAGCATAGCTTTTCAAGTGCTCGGTAATCCCGAACCTGGTACATCCAGTGGAGTTGCATTTGATGTTCATCTGCCAACCGAATCCGGCGGGCTGGATTGGAGAGCCTCATGGCCCAACGACGGAAACATTTTTGGCATGGATTTCGCCGCATGGATGCCAGGGCCACCCGCCCCGTCATCTTTCCCGCAATTCCAAAGCCCAAAACGGGCTGCTGGAAGCGACGAATTCATGCTACCTTTGTCGATTGAGAATCTCAACCCTGACGCGGCCAGCCGTAACGTCAGACCAAGGCCGTCGGTAAACCTGACCATGAGGAACATGTCCCCTCCCCCAGGACTTTCAGGATTTGAGAGCCCTAGGGAGCGGAACATCGTAGATCCAACCCCAAGCAAACGATCAAGGTCAAATTCGACTGGATCGCATAGGGCAAGGGGAATGGGTCGGGAAACTGCCCACAGGGGAAACCCCAGTACGCGGGACTCAGGACGCGGTCGATCAGGTGACCCAGCGTCGATCATCGGTAGGGACCCGTTGAACGCGGGCACACTCGTTAACGTGCTTGATGGGATCGAAGCATTCCAGGAGGAATTCAATAGGTCAAATGGCTCGAACGCACAAAGTGTTCGCCCTACGTCCAACGCGGCTTCCTTTTTCGCCTTGGACAACATTGACGGGGCTAATGTTCCAATAGAATCTGAGTCCATGATGGCATCAAGTCCTAGTCACAATCATACCGTCAGTAATGGAACTGATATTGAATCGATGTCTGAACCTAGAGTGTCCAATGCGACCGATTTGAATGACATTGTCATTGCTGACTCGAGGCCTGATGTTCCTATGCGAACCGATAGGCCCGTTGTTCCTAAGTTGTCCGTGGCCAAAGGCCTGGGCATGACACAACCCTCGGCGGTTCGTGATGCCAGGAGATCTGCGCCGTATCAGAGCCAATCTCCTAATAGGAGTGAGTTCCCACGGCCGTCAACGGCCGTACAGGATGATTTCAGAACTCCTCCGAGATCTAATCCAATCATGATTGATCTGTCCACTCCTCGGGACCGTGAATTTAGGCATAGCCCCATGGGCGAAGATCAACCCAATGAAGTCGCTGATCTTGTCACGGCCCTTGAAAGAGGGAGAGTGGACTCTTCCGTAAGTGCGATTATTCACCGCCTAGTTGCTAAGGTCGAAAACCTTGGGCATAGGAATGATAGAAGATCAATGCATCAAACAACTGGCCGCTGAGGTCAACTCGTGGAGAACCAAATACGACCAATGCGTCCATGTGAACAACACATGTACACAGGCTGCAAACGTGTCAATGCAGCTTTCGCAAGGGGCTAGGGATATCGCAGCCGAGCTTGGCCAACGAGTCAAGATCATATCCGATCGTACGACTAGCTTAGGCGATGCCCTGAATGAACGGGCCAGCTATGACGACGTCGCTCGATCGATCGTCCAAGTCCAAACTGTTTTTGAGTCTCTTTCTGATCGTGTTGCCGAGCTTGTTACTCGTGTTGAAGCAATCGAGAGATCCCTTGTGGAGAGTCAATCCAACCATCCTGCAATTGGTGGTGTGAACCTCAAAATCGAGGACTTATCCACCAGAATGTATAGCATTGACAGGATGATGCAAAATGCCGAACAGTGTTGGCTTACCAACAAGGAAGGTATAAAGTGGACCAAGGACCAACTCTGCGAGACGCAGACCAATATAGAGGTCAAGTCGAGGGACTGCAAGTCCTACACGGACAAGCAGAATACTCATAACATGGCTGTTTCGACTACACTCAACAGCAAACTTGAGCAGATGCTCAATGTGCTAAAATAGCACGGCCCAGAAAATTAATGCTCTCGAATCAAAGTATTCGAGCCAAGCATCGAGTAGTCTGTCACGGCCATGGAGTACGCTGAATGTGAGGAGCCAGACTGTTTGGGGTTTGTCCTCACAATGCTGGGGTACGTTAACCCCTCCGCTGCAGCCGGCTATGCGCCGAGATTCTGAGCGGATGCGTTCCGAACAAGATCTCCTACCAAGGCGTAGAGGGATCTCGTGTGGTCGTGTTGGTCGGTCAATCGCACTGGATTACCGGCAGCGCGGGCCAGTCCATCTCTGAGGCCAAGCTTCAGGAGCAGTGGACGACCATCAGGACAAAGCTCCCGGCCAAGACTGGTGAATACGCACTGGAGGTCGTGGAGGTTGACGAGGAGAGTTCAATATCTGAACTCCTTCGTACGGTGGTCGGTCCCAAGCTCGCGGACCCGGTGCGCCTGCAAGGGCGAAGGATGACATATTCGTCATCTTCACCAAATGCGTGTGGTTGACCAAGTGGCTCAAATCTGAGAACACTTACGGTCCCAACCCCGAAGCGGGTAGGATCATCGATGAAAGCATCGATGCGTTAAAGGCATTTGCCAACAAGGGTGGGCGAAGCCAGGCGCCGACAATAATCTTGTCTGGTCCTGGAATTGTGTGGCATGGCACGTCCATGCAACACGTTGCCACCACATTTTTCAGGAAGTGCCGCGATGCCGGCTTTCCCGCCTACCCATCCAATGCGATGTGGTTTGGCTGCTCAAAGAAGAGCTCAAACGGTGGTGTCGTCGGCATCGAAAGAGGCGGACACCAATTCATAGGTCTTGTATCGGCTTTTACCGACCTGACCTCTATTCTGAGGCGCGAATACGCGATGAACGGTGAGATCCAGGAAACCCTGGCAATCGCCCTCAACTACGTGATCGAGGGGGGCAAATTGGTGAATCCACCAGAGTCCTACCTCAGTGCCGTTAAAATGTGCGGGGGCCAAACGTGCCTCGCCGGTGCATCGGTGGTCCACTTCCGAGGACACACCATGGGCGGAGGTTATCTCTGCGCCCAGAGCGATGTCTGGCGGCCAAGGCGCCCAGACGCGCTCAGCTTCGGTCAATGCACCTAGAGCGTCGAGTGCA